TTTTATATAAAATATTTTTATTGATTTCAGAGAGGAAGGGGGAGAGAGAGAGAGATAGAAACATCAATGATGAGAGAATCATTGATCAGCTGCCTCCTGCATGCCCCCCCCTGGGGATCCAGCCTGTAACCAAGGCATGTGCCCCTGACCAAAATTGAACCTGGGACCCTTCAGTCCACAGGCCAACACTCTCTCCATTGAGCTAAATCTGCTAGAACTAGAAGACATTTTTTAGAAAAAAAAAAAGGGGAGGAACAGGGGATAATCCCAAATTAGGCACATTTTAAGAGTAGACTAGAATTTACTTCATGGGTTGTCTTTTATTTATCATATTAACATGATGAGTACACAAGCATTTTGCCTATTATAAGTTAGCATTTGAAGGGGGCTACATAGAAAATAGCTTTTCTTATCTTGTGTAGGGATTAAGATTCTACAGAAAGGAGTTCTATCCCCTCTAGTTAAGTTTCTAATTCATTCCAGGGGATGCTCAATAGATAGGTCAGCTTCTAAGATGTAGGGTCATCCTGCGGTACTTGACAAAAGAGCTATCGGGGCCTCGTGCTCAGAGGAGACAGTGCAGTTCACTGGCTCCAGGCAGAAAGGGTTTTCAGAAGTAGCATCCCACTCCCCTGCTACCCTTGTCCTCACAGCTGGAAGAAAAAGTACAAGGGGCACACAGCCCCACACACAGCACGGACGGGCCCATTGATCTCAGGAGGTGTTTGATTCATCAAGCACAGCCATTTGATCCTTGCCTTGGGAACAGGTCAGGGCAGTGTTCCATTCACAGGGAGATAAAGTAGTGCACATGGGCTGAACGATCATATTCTTTATTTTGCTTAAAAAGGAGAACCACGTGGTTGTTTTTTTCTCCCAGTAGGGCGATTTTTAGTTGGTTTTATCAGTGTTGTTAAAAAAGGTGCATTTCTCTTAAAACTATGGAGAGTTCATTTCGCTACATCTGACCTGAGCCCTCAATTTGCCAGGCCTTGTATCAGGCCCCGGGTTTTCCTGGTGCTCGGAGCAGCATGTGTGCAGAGGGGAAGCACGGCACAGATCACTGTAGAACAGCAGCAGAGATTTAAAACAGAGCAGGCCATTCTGATGTCCGCACGGTTCCAGGCCTCTCTAGAGAAGCAGGTGCAGGCAAGGGACAGCACACGGTGTTCATGCTCTCCTTGCCTGCTGCGAAGTGGGGGGCACTGAAATTACTATCTGACCCAAAGTAAAAAGCTAAACTTTATGTAAAAATACTTCAATAACTCTGAATTTAACCCAAAATAAGTATCTACATTTTTCAATTAGTGAGACATATAAGCAAGGCGCCTTTGGTCCAATTAGCATTGATAGGCTGTGGGTGAAAACTTGAGCAGTCTGTCAGGGCTATGTTTTGTTAGAGCATGGTGCAAACAAGAAGCACACTCAGGTTTTGCCGACCTTAGGCCCTGCCCAGCTGCTTTGCCCTCAAAGGAGGCCCAACACAGAGAGATTACCCCAGAACCACTCATTAAAAAACAACTCCTAGGCCGTTTCTTATCCATAGTGAGTGGCTCACAGTGTCACATGTTGCACACCAACTCTGATTTGTTGCAGGTTCCTGTCATTTACACCAATTGTCTAGTTTGCAGTAAGTAGGACCTTACCACATATGCTTCTTTTAACACCAAGCTAGATTTTAAAAATAAGGTGAGCAGTAATTCGTTTTATTTCTCTATGGAAACCATTTAGAGAAGTTACTTAGCGCCCAGTGAGCCATGATTGTATTAAATAGTATTTACAAAGTCTTTCTTCTATCACCCAAACCCATGGTTGGTGTGTGCTCTTTGAGGGACGGATAATTAGAACTCATTGCTGTCTTTGTTTCCTGTTTGGGGGACAGATAATTGAAACTAATTGTTATTTTCTTTCCCTTCACTTTTTCCACCCAATCAGTAAGTCCGAGTGATTCTGCTTTTCACCTCTGTTCACATCTCTCCATCACCAGATCACTGTTCCAGTTTAAGTCACAACTTGTCAGAACTCATGTTAATAGTGTCCTAACTGATTCTTCACTTATCAAAGTAATCTTTCACTTTAGAGGAGTGTATAATAAGAATGACAAAATAATACTAATAATGAGTGCTATTCACTGGCTGCATATTACATACTGTAATTCTTAGTACAATCCTGCAAAGTTCTCCACTTAACAGGGAGAAAACAGAACCCTAGGAAGATGAAGCAGCTTGTCTAAAGCCACTAGCCTAGTGGTAGATCCTGTATATGAACTGTCTCCAAAGCTTGTGCTCTTCACCATCATGCATGCTTTCTGCCACATTTGCCAAATTTTTCCTTAAATTGTAATGCTCCCCTGCAGTATTAAACTATGTTGCATTACCCAGCATAATGCCGGGCACATAAGCATTCAAGAAGGTGTTTGTTTTTTTTTAGAGTCTCATGCTCTACTGACTGAGCTAGCCGGGCGCGGTCAAGAAGGTGTTTTTTAATGAATAGACTCAGGAACCTCTATATAGAGGGCAGGAAGCTGCAGTATTATATTACTTTATTTGTCCAACATCATTATGAAATGAGATATTTTTTTTTTTTTAGGTAAACTGGTTTTCTATTTAATTAAAATGAAACCATTTAAAGAGTCCTTTAAATATTGGTAAAATCTTTCTGAAATGCATTCCATTCTTTATTGCCTTCTAGTATGACAATTCTAATTTAATATTATCCCAACGACAAAGATCTAGTGTTATGTACAACAAATGTTGTATATGCTACTTCTTTAGTATTTCCTTCTGGTCTATGGTTTGAATTACCATCTCTATGCCAATGAAGCCTAAATTTTTGTCTCCAATGGAAATTTTTCTCCTGACCTTCAGATCCAGGTATATCCATACTACCACTTGACCCAGCAAGCTCAAAATCCCCCTCATAGACCTCCAAACACACCCAGACCTCAAAATCTCCTCCAGAATTCTGTGTCTTAATAAAATAATCTATTGTCTCCCCATCTATGCTAGCGATAAACATGGGCATAATGTTTGACTCCTCCTTTTCCTTCACCAATCTATTCTCTAATCAATTATCAAAAGTTCTATTCGTTTTACTTTCTGAATATCTCTCAAACCCATCACAGTTCTGTCTCTGTCAATTACCTTCTCCTGCCATTATTGTTTTTGCCTGGACTATTATATTAACCTTCTAAAGGATGTCCCCTCCAACAATTTTACCATAATCCAATTTGTTCTCCATACTTCAAGCAGAGAGCATTTTTAAAACTAGAAATTGGATCATCTCACATCTCAGTTGGAAGACTTTTATAATGATTGCTTATTATTCAGATTTCTTAAATATTGCTTATAAAGTCTTAGATGATCTGACCATCTCTTGGTTTTCCAGATCTGACCATCCCTGTTTTTACCTATCCCTTTTACCAAGCACCAGGTCACATGTTGAACATTTTTCCCTCTGCACAATGTGTATTCTCTTGCTCCTAGGACTTTGTGGTACTAGGGAACTCCTGACCCCTCCATCGTAAGATAAGCTTCACTACCACAGCATCCATTTCCACTTGTAAAACTGTGTTTAAATACCTATTTGTTTCTCTGTATCAGCTCTACAATCCTCCCTCAAGACTTCAGGGTCTGGAGAATGAAACCCATGCTTCCCATGTTTATCCTGTATTCCTAGTAGCTAACTTTGTACCTAGAGCCTACTAGGCATCATATATTGGAATACATTTTTAATTTTAGAATAGATCTTCAGAAAAGTTACAAAGATAATACAGCATGTTCTTTGTTGGCATCCGGTTTCTTATGTTAATATGAACATTTGTCACAACTAATGGGCCAATATTGATGCCGAATTAACTAAAATCCATGCTTATTCAGATTTCCTTAGTTTTTATATAAAAATTCTTTCTGTTCCAGGATCCCATTCAGGATATCACATTATAATTAATTATCATATCTCCTTAGGCACCTCTTGGCTGTGATAGTTTCTGAGACTTTTCCTATTTTTGATGATCTGGAAATGTTAAGGAGCACTGGTTAGGTATTTTGTGCAATGTCCATCAATAGGAGTTGGACTGATTTTTAAAATATATTTCTTTATTGATTTCAGAGAGGAAGGAAGAAGGAGAGAGAGATAGAAACCTCAGTGATGAGAGAGAACCATTAATTGGCTGCCTCCTGCACACCCCCTACTGGGGATCAAACTCAGGCATGTGCCCTTGACCAGAATCAAACCTGGGACCCTTCAGTCCGCAGGCTGGTGCTCTATCCACTGAGTCAAGCCAGCTAGGGCTGTTCTGATGTTTTTATCATGATGAGACAGGGGTAAAGGTTTGGAGGAGGAATACCATGGAGGTAAAGTGCCATTTTCATCCCAGCATATCAAGAATGTACTCTGTCAGCATGACTTCCCACTCTGATGTTAACATTGATCACCTGGGATAGTATTTGTCAGGTTTATCTACAGTCAAGTTACTCATTCCCCTCTTTCACACTATACTCAGGAAGTCCCTATGCCCAGACAACATTGAAGGGATTAAGAATTCTACTCCAGTTCCTTGAGGCAGAGTATCTACATAAATTATTTGGAAAAAAAATAATTAAAAAAAAAATACTCTCCTTCCAAATGTAGAAATGCCCAAAATAGAGAAAAAAGCTTACTCTATTTCAAAGATTGCTGATGAAACTAATAATTTCTCCAACAAGTGACTTAAAATGAAAGGCTAATTGTTAATGATAAGATAAAAGGCTTTAGCTATAATCTCCATCCATAAAATTGAACGGCTTCATGGGCAGTTGGGTTGACAATGCTCCGGGTGCCATAGAATGTTGTCTGCTTACTAATGTAAGCAGAACTCTGAGGGTTAGGGTTTCCAGCACCCTTAATAGTAAATACATCTTTTTTCTTCCCACAGCTGGCACTTATTTTGACAAAGGCCAACTGGAAAGCAGTTACTTGAGGACAGTTTGGATAACATCTGGATAAGCAGAACAGGCACCATGAAGCACTTCCTGAGGTAAGCATTTCTAGTTTCCCGAATTGAGCCCTCTAAAAGGAGAAACTTCCTCTTCAATTAGGATAATATTTTTGTTCACCATTTGTGATAACCATGTCTCACGTTGTACTTCAGCTAAGAATAATTTGGTCACAAGATTCCTCTGCCAACTCTATGTGCACATTGATGCTAAAAGACAACCTTTACACATGGTAGATTACAAGCAATGATAAGAGAGCATGGGTGAAAAAGTGAGGGGCAGGGAGAACTTTGGACAACCTTGATGCTTGTATATGTATAGAGTGGTAAATATGCTGTTAGCCTTCAAGTTGAGGTCTGGGGATAGGTAGTCAAAGAATCAATATAATTTATGTACACTCTTTTTTCCTGAAATAAGTAACTTTAAATATCCCGTCATTTAGATTTTGGTTGGCTGGCCAATTCCTACAGGTATTTTCAAATATTCATTTTTGGTAAAATATATATATCCTAAGCTTCTGCTCTTCCTGCCTCAGTGATGTCCCCAAAATCTGTATTAATTGTTGATTCTCTGAAGACTCTGCTATATAGAGCACTGTGTATGTTGGTAGGTTTGGGGGTGATCTTGTTTGTTTTGAAAGCCATTAGGCTTGATCTATAATTATTTTCAAGAGTATTAACTGTCATTTACAATACAGTAATAGGATTCTTGAAGAAATTTTACATCGTATTAAAACATGACCAAAGTAATGTCAGTCTAGCTCTGAAAATTAGAAAATAAAGCACACTTTCCTTCGAGACAGTTGCTTACCTCTGTACACATGCTTGTCCCTTGCTCTGGCTTCTTGTCTCTGAAAAATGAGTGGGCTTGCTTCCTTTAGGAAATTTAATTCTTTTGTGGCTGCTGTTTACGATTTTTCTTTCCCCACTGGTGTTGTTCGCACCATTGTTTCTGGAGCAAGGAGGTTGATTTGTGTGGGAGTCACCACGTTCTGCTGCAGTGACTGATGTGCCGTGGATCTTACAACTGTGCAGACCTCCCTGGAGGTCACTATTTAACTGTTCAAAAGCATTAGCATTGATAGGCATACTGCTCTCCCGTTTATCTCGGCCGAGGAACTCGGCCGAGGAAAAGGACAGTATTTGAAAAATCACTAGGAGATTTGCCAGCAAAGTGTTTGATCTGATACATGATTTGGGTTGCCATGGTAATAAACCCATCTGCTTCCACATTATGAGAAATTGGTACTTATGAATCCCTCCTGAATAAGCTCTTAGTGGTGGAATCGTGTTAACAGAGAGCTGTAGCGTGAGAGGAAGCTCAGACATCAGGAGCTCCTTTTGTGAAAGAGGCGACAGAAGTGGTCAGGTTTGTGCCACGATTGATGCCACTGGATTTCTTCTTCACGCTCTTGCTGGTTTTAGAAAAACTTGAGTCGCCTCAAAACCAGCCATTTTAGGAGAAATAGGAGCATCTGTGTTTGTCAGGTTTTTTTTGTTCAATTGAGTAGGTTTGACACTGTGTTTGGTGCAGATGATAACTTTTTAAAACTACACTGTATGTGATGATTTAGAACTGGTGTGGGTAAACTCTACCACTGCAATTTCACACAGGCGAGCTCCGAAGATAATGGAACCAGCACATCCCTGTCAGTTGTGTGTTCTGATGCATTTTTTTTCCTCTTTTAAGTTGGCATATATATTTTATAAATATTACTTGACATGGATTATTTATGTGAAAGTGAGTCTAGGATAATAGGTTTCACACCAAGAAAGATACTTGAGGATTTCCAGTGATCATAGGTTTTGATAATGAAAGCAAATTCAATCATTGCCCCTCCTTGGTTGATTTTTGCTTTTGGCTTTAGTTTTTGTTTTGAATGCTTTTATTAAGTTATAATGAGTATGTATTTGTTATATGTTAATGTTTATGGAATTTGGAAGGCTAAGAGGGCAGAGTAACAATCTTGTATTACAACTCTATCAGATCATTTAAACTGCCTTTTACTCCCTATAGTCTTTGCCCACAGATGTTGGACAATTTGGAAATCTTTTTATTTGAACCAAAAAGAAGGTTATGTACACATTGACGGAATAAATCAGGTGTGAACTCCTGAGCTCAACAAATATGTAGAATAAGGGGTTGATTTTCACTGAGGAAAAATTCAGCATTATTTAAAAGCCCCCCTGGGTGATTGACTTGTCAACTTCTGAGATGCTGTAGAATGAAATGTTCCATATACAGTCTCCGAAGAAATGAGGTTCACCAGAAAGAATCCAGGTTGAGGGAAAGAATAGATTCTAATCCACATTAAGATGCATGGGACCCACACTCTGCTCTCTCCAGCTCACTGTTACCATCAACTATATTAATGGTGTAACTACTCAGAGTATAAAGGAGTGAGGAAATATTTGATGTTTGTTTTTAAGAAATTACATGAGAAGTTAGAAATAAATGCTTTAGATTAGTACACTCAACTGAAGGATATGTTTTAAATTGAGATTAGATATGGGATATTATATAAGTACATCATTTTCACCAAATATGACTTTTTCCAAGGTCTACGTTAAAAGAAAACCAAGGATTAAATGGAGAAGAAAGTGTGTCTATGTTTTATCAGAGAAAGAGAGGTCACTTTCTGAGCCCCAAATAGAATTGAGGCTTAGGGTTTAGTTTATACACTGAATGGCCAGATTTTTATGATCTTTGAACGCATAATAATTTGGCTACTCAGTATATGTATGTATATGTGTGTGTGTGTGTGTGTGTGTGTGTGTGTGTGTATAAATAGAAGCCTGGTGCATGAACTCGTGCATGGGTGGGGCCCGGCCAGCCTGGCCAGAGGAAGGGGACATGGGCTGTTGGCTGGCCTACCTGCTGGTCAAACTCCTGGTTGAGGGGACTATTTGCATATTAGCCTTTTATTATATAGGACCGTGGTTCTCAACCTTTTTAATGCTGCGACACTTTAATATAATTCCTCATGTTGTGGTGACCCCCAACCATAAAATTATTTTCATTGCTACTTTATAACTGTAATTTTGCTGCTGTTATGAATCATAACGTAAATATCTGTATTTTCCAATAGCCTTAGGTGACCCTACTAGTGGTTCTCAACCTGTGGATCATGATCCACAGGTTGAGAACCGCTCCTGTAGAGCATAAGAAACCGGTTTGGCTCAGTGGATGGAGCATCGGCCTCTGGACTGAAAAGTCCCAGATTCAGTTTCGATTAGGGGCATGTACCTTGGTTGTGGGCACATCCCCAGTAGGGGATGTGCAAGAGGCAGCTGATTGATGTTTCTCTCTCATCGTTTCTAACTCTCTATCCCTCTCTATTCCTCTCTGTAAAAAAATCAATAAAATATATTTAAAAAAAAAAGATTTAGGGCTTCTGATGGATAATGACTTTCCATCTAATTAATTAATTTAATTTGAAATTCATGCACTCAGGGTTGGAGGGTGCCTCAGCCCAGCCTGTGCCCTCTCGCAGTCTGGGAGCCTTTGGGAGGTGCCTGACTGACAGGGCTGTCCCCCAGGGGAGAGGTCTTAAGCCAACAGTGGGACATCCTAGAGGAGGAAGAGCCCAGCTTCTGGCTGAGCGGTGGTGAGCGTCTGCCCCCTGGTGGTCAGTGCATATCATAGTGACCAGTCATCCCGCTGTTTGGTAGATTTGCATATTAGCCTCTTATTATATCAGATTTATTTCTTTATTTAAATCTTTATTGTTAAGAGTATTACAGCTGTTTCCCTCTATTTCCCCATTGCCCTCTCCATCTGGTACTGGCCCCTACTCAGGCCTTCACCACCCTGTCATCTGTGTCCATAGGAATGCATATGTGCATATAAGATCTTTGGTTAATTTCTTCCTGTCCTTCCCTCCCCCCTTTCCTCTGAGATTCATCAGTCTGTTTCATGTTTCCATGCCTCTGGTTCTATTGTATTTAACAGTTTATTTTGTTCATTATATTTCTTTGTTTATTTTGGTTTTAATTGTTGATAGATATGTATTTATTGATATTTTGTTATTCTTATTTTTCTTCTCCCTTTCCCTCTCCCTCTCCTTCTCCCTTTCCTTTTCCTTCTCCCTCTCCCTTTTCCTTTCTCTCTCCTTCTTTTTAAAGAATAACCTTTAGCATTTATATAATACTATGAATGGATGCTTTTAGCTTTTTCTTGTCTATGAAGCTCTTTATGACCTTCAATTCTAAATAATGGCTTTGCTGGGTAGAGTAATCTTGGTTGTAGGTCCTTGCTATTCATAACTTTGAGTATTTCTTGCCACTCCCTTGGTCTGCAAAGTTTCTGTTGAAATATCAGAAATATATCAGACAGTCGTATGAGTGCTCCCTTGTAGGTAACTAACTGCTTTTCTCTTGCTGCTTTTAAGATTCTCTCTTTGTATATTTAGCCCTGGGCATTTAAATTATAATGTGTCTTGGTGTAGTCCTCTTTGGGTTTCTCTTGTTTAGGACTCTATGAGCTTCCTGGACTTATAAGTCTATTTCTTTAACCAGGTAGGGGAAGTTTTCTGTCATTATTTCTTCAAATAGGTTTTCAATATCTTGCTCTCTCTCTTCTTCTGGCACCCCCATAATATGAACATTGGTATTTATAGATTTATTTAATATTTTGGTTCTTTTAAAAATATTTTTACAACAAAAGTTTATATTCTAGATTATAAGTACATACTTTTTAAATTTTAGTGTAACGTGTTTGCTGCTTTCTTTATAAATATTATCCAAGTACCCCAAAATATCTGATTTTTAAAAAAATAATTATTGTAAAATGTATTATTTAAAGCATCAAATTTTAATGTAATTGTGATGTCATTAATAAATTAAGAAAAACCTGTGCCTCCTTTTCTTTGAAAGAAGAAAAAAAAATGAGCCAATAATTAGATCTTTCTTTGAAAGAAGAAAAAAAAATGAGCCAATAATTAGAATGAGCCAATAATTAGCCAATAATTAGAGCCCACAATTAGCCACGCTCCCTAATTCCTCAGATAAAATTTGCCTGGAATGTAAAAAGAGTGCCCTTT